CCCAGTTTATATATATTATATAATATATAATATATAAGTTAATACATAACTTAAGTAGGGTTTTTATTTTCAGCCCCCACCACCTCTGCATGTGATTTCATTTTTCAGATTTGTGAACTACGCGACGGTGCGACGTCTCCCTCTTCTCAAATTAACCCAACTGGCTAAGCCCACTGGCCACCGTACATCTCTCTTCCGACACTGTGTCTCGCGGCTATTGTCTTTCCTACCGTCACACCGTCACGTTTCTCCCACCAGCCAACGTCTTGCCTCTCCTACATCACTCCCGCCTCGCCTCGACGCCCCATCTTTGGGTCACCGCCTCCGACGCCTTGCCTAGCCGCCTCCAGAGATAATTACTGCATTTGAAATTGAAGGCCTTTTATGTTTGAAATGGATTTTACTATTTTCTTTAATTTTGTGTACATCAGTATTTAAGATAGGATGAAAATTCAACTCAATCACTTGTTTGTTTCATTTGCTCTCTGAAGTTTGAATCCCTATCAATAATTACAAAAGTGAGATTTATCATGGTATTGACTATTGAGCTCTCTGAATTCCATTTTTTTTTTTAATTTTCTTTGAATCCCAATCTTTTTTTAATTTTATTTGAATCTCATTTTATCTTTCTAAAATGATGTTTGCTAATGCTGTACTGTTTTTGGGTTTATGGATGAACAAAAATAGGGCTGGGTTGTGCGGGTCAGGATGGGGTGGGGGCAAAAACAAGGGTGTGGCGGGCCAGGGCGGGGCGCCCCGGCCCAGTGCGGGCCAAGTCATGGGCCGGCCTTTTTGGACCCGTGGCGGGTCACGGGCCAGGTCGGGGCGCGGGCATAGGGTCGCGGGGCAGGTCCGGGTACTGAACTACCCGGCCCGACCTGCCCCATTGCCATCCCTAGTTGTCCCCGTCGATGTAATTCGGTTACCTTTATGAGATAAATCTCATTAAGACCTATGAGAAGGCCGTGCCATTGATGTGGCACGCACTCCCATGTCATTGATGTGGCATGGCTAAGCTTAGATGTGCACATGAGTGAGTCTTTGATGAGACTAGAGTCATTGATGTGACTAGAGATGAGACATTATATTATTGTTTATGTTCATGCTGCGACCATACCAACCTAACATGTTTTTTATGTTGTTCATATGCATAGTGTGAGTACAATATTTTCCAACTGTACTCACTCTCACCTGCTCTTCACGGATGTAGGTTGAGCAGTTGGCGGGTGACGAGGCAAGACGAGTGGGTGGTCTTGCTCATTATTGATTATTATTATGCTTCTGTTTATTTATGCCCGTGACGTTGACTTGGATTTTTTCTTTCCTGCTTGTTTTTGAATAAATTGATTATGTCGTTGAAACCTTGGATTATGGTTTTGAAACTTATTGAATGTTAGTGAAATTTTAAAACTATTAGTCATGCATGTATCGATTTTATCTGATGTGTTTGTATTTTCGATTAATAGTTCTTGGTAGTTAAGTAGCGCCCATTGAGTTTTAAATTTAATTTGTGATTTGCAAAAAATTAACTCTGATTTTTATAAATAAATTCGATAAATCCTTTAAAACAAAATGGGGCATTACAGCGGTGGTGGTGGACGCCATAGTGGACGGCGCGAACGCGGAAGCCGTGGTGGCAGACGTTCGCGCCGTCAGAGCTCCTGTGCAAGCCAATGTTGCCGCCGCGACTATGCAGGTTGGGGCTACTTCGAATGCAGGTCTGACTTCTTCCGATCGTGTTATTAGTGGATTGACTGATGAACAATGGACTCAGCTTGTTCATTTAGTTAATTCTTTCTCCTAAACAGGACAATAAGTTGTTTGGTAAGCGGAGTTTATATGATTGGATGTATGACTGTGGTGCTTCTCGCCATATGATTGGTTTTTTGGAATTTTTGTCTGATGTTCGTGACATACCTGCTCGTCCAGTTCAGTTACCCAATGGGTCCTTGACATCTTCCAGTAAATTGGGCATTGTTTATTTGGGGTCGTCTATTATTTTACATGATGTCTTGTTTGTACCCAGTTTACAGTGCAGTTTAATATCCTTATACCAGTTGTTGAATACGTTTAGTTATACGGCCCATTTTACCAATAAGTTTTGTATCGTTCAGGATTGCACTTCGAGGATGGTGACTGGAGCAAGTGAGCAGATATGGGGACTTTACTTCTTCTGGGGGACAGTTTTTGCTGCATCTACTCGAGTGGTGAAGGTTTCTGCTGATTTGTGGCATCAACGGTTGGGACATCCATCAAATCGTGTATTGTCACACTTGCCTTTAGTTGATTCACAGTTTTCTATTTTGAATAAGCCATGTGATGTTTGCTTTCGAGCAAAACAGACTAGAGACAATTTTTCTCTTAATAATATTGTGAGTAGTGGCATTTTTCATTTGGTACATTGTGATTTGTGGGGCCCTTATTGGGTTCCGGCCTTTTGTGGCTCTAGATATTTTTTGACCGTCGTTGATGATTATTCTCGTGGTGTTTGGATTTATTTACTTGCTGATAAAACAAAGGTATCTTCAGTATTGATAATTTTTTTTTGCTATGGTTAAACGTCAATTTGGCACATTGGTGCGTGTGGTTCGCAGTGACAATGGTACTGAGTTTATATGCATGACTGATTATTTTCGTTGTGAAGGCATTTTGCATGAGACCTCTTGCGTTGGTACTCCTCAGCAGAATGGGCGTGTTGAACGCAAGCACCAACATATTCTTAATGTTGCTCGTGCTTTGCGTTTTCAAGCCCATTTACCTCTTCAATTATGGGGTTATTGTGTTCTTACAGTTGCCCATTTGATTAATCGCACTCCGTCGCATGTTTTGGAAGACAAAACTCCGTATGAGATGCTCTATGGGAATTTTCCTGATTATTCTCGATTGCGTGTTTTTGGGTGTTTATGTTATGTGTATAATCGGGATCGACATGGGGACAAACATGCTAGTCACAGTTGTAGGTGTGTATTTGTGGGATATCCCCTTGGGCAAAAAGGGTAGCGTGTTTA